AACTGGTTTTTGAAAAGTGTATGAAGAAGTATATAACAATGGTTGAATTACAGAGTACATTAAAGATTCCTTTCTCCTCTTTTTTGATTGTGAGATATTAGAAGTGTGCTAATGAGACAGACTGAAGCTACACTGAACTTCAAGTCAAGAAAGCAATAGCTTAGTAAGTTTGATCTGTACAGATTAAGTTCTGACCCCTTCAAATCTTTTGATAACTATGTGTGTTGGTAAGTCAGGTGACTGAATTGAATTGGATATTTTTACTTGTACTTTTCAGTGTGCTCTCTATTTAGCTCTACTAGGTAATGCTGTCAAATAACAACATGAAACCTTTGACCAAATAAAACAAGTTTCACTTTATACTTACTACTGCTTTAAATCTGCTTGACTTATTCTTCACGGTGATTATGCACAAGGAATTAGGAGGAAATCATTAGCCTTAGTGTTGTATACTATTTGTAAAACATAATTTAAAAAATATACAATAAATGACTAAAAAGAACTATCTGTAAGTAATTTTAAAAGTCAAGAAAATTCTGATTCTAATTTATGTATATAGACAATGAAAAATATCCTAGGTTATTGTTGGTTCCACTCTGTATCCATTTAGATCCGATTTCTGCCTCTCAAAACCTCATTCCATAGAAAAAATGGAAATGGATACACTTCACTATGACAGTGGCAGATCTCTTCGAATATTTGTACAAATGCTAAGCAATAAGAATTGAGAAGGGTGGTTTCTAGAAAATAGCATTGCCTTCTGATTAAGGCTGGGTCTGTGTGTTGATAGGGATGTTCATAACCACCACATAAGTAGCAGGTAATAGAAGCCAATTTATTGAAAGGGATAAGCAAGGAGACTCCAGCAAAGATACACAGAAACCTGATGCAAGGTGACTGAGGATCTTTAACTCTGAGTATTTTTGGAAAACAATATACTTTTTCAGTTTGAGTTAGTTTCTCTGTTAGTAAAAGCCAAAATACAATCATAAAAAATAAAGATATACCATCATTGGTATGTATTTAAAATCATATTATGAACCATATTTCAAAATAGAGAAAAAATGCTAGACACCCAACATTTTGCATAAATTTTATGTTTTCTTTTAAAAAATTATTTATTTATATTTATATTTATTTATTTATTATTTATTTATATTCAGTTTGTCTCTCAAGCACTTATGTGAGGAAGTTATTCCCCATTTCAAGGCACCTAGAATGCAAACCTTATCTCACACTGGCTGTACACAGCATATCTTTGCGTGGTGATAGAGTAGGCAAGCTCCATCAACTGAACTCTCCATAGTAAAAGGTTGGAGGCTATTGAATGGGAGGGGAAGGAGAGAAGGAACAGAGCAAGCACACATTCATGTTCCCTCTCATCTAGTGATGGTAGGACCATTCTTAGAGTCTGGTAAAACCATCACAAAGATTGGCCTGTCAAACTTTGATTTATAAGGTACCATACATTTTTTGACATTTTTATTATTATGCTTTAATGACTTCATACATAAAGTACTGTTCTGAACTAACACAACAGTCAACTCATGAAAACTGGCTACATATTAGAACTGCTGTTGAATTCCCAATCCTTTCATTGTGAGTAAATCCAGAACCAAATTTCAGGTTAGTGAATCATGAAACCTTTAGAAACATGAAACATGAACAACTACACTTAGAAACAGAAAATTACAATGAACATTAATAACTTCAGACATATCCATCATTGACATGCTCAATTTTATTTAGTATTGTCTCTTTAGGTTTGAAAGAATATAGAGAAGATTCAATTATATTTTAACAATTTCCATTTGACTTTTGAAAACTAGAACAAGGCACATATGTGCTGTATCACCTGTAAAACACACTCATCTATACAACAGATTTGGCAGTGCGTGTGGAGACATGGAGATACTGGCTGAAAGTTAATCTGTTTGGATTAGCTTTTATTTATTAATAAAGCAAAGATTGTCTTTGTGTTCAAGGCACTTGGGTACAAACCTTTTTTTAATTTGTGAAAAAATGTTAATTAGGATGATACAATGTATTTGTTGAAACATACACACATGCATAGGTATGCATACATTCAAGCACATGCACAAACATACACACAAATTTAGAATGAATAAAATTTTAAAATTGAAGGAAATGGACAAATTTTATGCTAAATGCTGGAAATGTACAATTTCTGCTAAGGCATTAGAATACTGCATTATTAAGTTGATACAACAATATATCTGTGTATCTGGTAAACTTTTTGACTAATTACTTGTGCACCATTATATATATATATATATATATATATATATATATATATATATATATAT